GTGAAATAGGCAATTTGACATTGTTTTACTATGCACCCATTATAAATCAAATCCGATCAAACACAATACTACTACACTCTGCAGTTTTCACTCAGCGAAGGAAGTAAAAATGGGCCCAGAAGGAAAAACTAAACGTGGCGACTATTGTCACGTCAGGTAGTAGAATATGCTTGATGAAAAAGCGACTGATTTAGTTTGTTATTCCTAAAATGTCTTGACAACAAGAATGTCCGAGAGATCATGAAAAAACCGAGTGGTTTGTTTAAAAGCCTCGGGGTTGTTACTCTCACCATAAAATGGCGCCATCCTCAACACACAAGAATACTCAATGACATAATCGTCATGGAATATAGGTAAATTCTGATTACATTTCTGTTTCTAGAACTTTGAACAAATTGAACTTAATTGCTTCTAAGGTTGAACTAGCCTGGAAGCAGAAAGTTTCACTTAACAAGTTTCAAGAGAGCGGTCGAACGAGACTTTTGATCCTTTGCCTCAAGTGTCCCTACTGCTTCAGAAATTCTCCACCCACTATTATTATTATTTTTTGATTAGTCCGTAAACAAGATATCATTCTTTCCTTACACAATCAGTCATTTGAACGCGATTTCTTTGATATTTTACCGCCTAAAGAAGATTTCGTAAAGGGCGGCACATCTGTCGATTGAAGCTCCGCCTGTAGTGTGAATTACAAGATACACTAAAGTACTTTTGTAAACACGCTGTTGTTGAAATAAGCGAAATCGAAGAAGAAATAACATTAGTAAAACATATTTTGCAGTTTAACACCGGGAAGAGAGGTGCAATTAAAAGTTTGTCAAGACTAGACTTTGTAGGCCGTTACCTTGCAAGATGACGATGAACCTATGGCTGGTGTTCCCGCAACATTTTCTCGTTCTACCAAAGGCCAGAGCAGTTGTGTGATTCAGACCTTGGCCAATTTCAGTTCTCAGTAAACTTTTGAAAAGTAAACATCACTTTATCTAGATTCTGCTGAAGTACGAAAGGACACCAGGGAATAGAGAGTTAATTTCTTAATAAAATTACTCACGAATCGTAGCCGGGGAACTCAGAAAACAAACACTTCATTGCAAAATACGTTGCCAGATAAAATGCAATTGAATTATGCCTCATGGAAATATAGATGCCACTGTAGCCTTCGTGTTAGAAAAAGTTTGTAGTGGTGTAGTGCATTTCCTGTAATCAACCCTAAAATTAACTTGACAGATTTTAAAATCCTTGAGATTTAGTGCTTTCCAAAATGACTTTCCTAGTTCCCTAGTTTCTTTGAGCTAGGGGCCCGGGCATAATAGCTTTGTTAAGAACTAAACCAGTTTACACAGAAAAAAAAAAAATCTATGAGTAAAATTTTATATTAAGACCTTTTAACAGCAGAGTGATTTAACACCAGATTTTCAAGCTATCATTTTTTTGTGCACAGGAAACAATGCTCCAAAGACTGGTTTGATACCCGAACAGTCAAACAGTTTAACCCATGAAATTATTAGTTCTCTTTTTATCGTTTCCTTCAGCTTTCACTGTTATAGCTTGGTCGAAACTCTTAGCATTGTGTACGTAAAATTGAAATTTGGTAAGTTTTCTTGGGAAATGGCGTACCAACTTCAAGATAACAAGTGTTTTTCTGACAACCTCTCTGCCGAATAAAATGTTATGCTTGTTTTTTATATTATCACTTAAAGTAGACGATCACAGCAGGGATGATGTTTGTATCTAAAATATATATACACTAAATTTATATCTCGTGGTTATCTGGATCAACTCAGCCTGTTTCCCGATGTCAAAACTATCCTTAGCTTAAAGAATATGGCCATATACGTTCGTTTCTTCTTGTATTTCACAAGTTACTGCATCATTCACTTGGTGTCGTTGTTTTGCAGTGGACGGCTGTGCGAAACTGTATCAAAATGTATAACGCACGTGCAGCGCCAATGTGAAGCTCATAACCTTTAGGTTGATCGACGTTCCTGTTGTAGGCGCCGTTGTGGTTTGGTTTAAATCGCAAGCATAAACCACACAGGTGTCATAAAAGTTTGACTGGGAAGGAATATGCACTAGTGTACAGAAATTGATACATTTGAATGCCTTCCTTCCAAAATCGACGTAAAAACCTGACCACAACACCGTCCTTACTGCACAATATTTCTTGATGGCGTGTCGGAAAGTTCTTCTCGATTATTTTTCTATGTTCTATCTTTAGGACTATTTTAGGAACATCCCTTCTTTATGGCGTCGACGTTTTGCAGTTCCGTCTCACAATTATATGGGAACCAAACAGGTCTCTTGTCTTCAGGTTTTCATCGAAAAGTGCAGATGAAAGAGCTCGATCGTTTATTAACCTGGGTAGCCTTCTCCAGTGAAGTCAAAGGGGGCCATTTTGTTATTTTGGACCCTCCCACACAGTAAGAGGTGTTGCACACTGGGATTGAACTAAACTTTAGCTTTAGCTGCCTTATTTACGTGAAATCCGGCTCGCTTTCAACCACAAACCACAAAAGTCGAAAATCTAAAAGGCTTGCTGTAAGTACGTGCTTGCAGCAGATGTATTGGTAAATTGTGTTCAAAATGGAGCCCCAAATGTTGTGCAATAAAAGTTGAAAGATATTTTAACAATGATATTTGGCTTCCCGGTTACGAAAAATATAAACATCGGACGTATAATTAAAAGAAAATTGAAGAGAAAGTGATTAGAAGAGATTCAAAAGAAAAAATTGGGAATAATTTCGTTTTAATAATGTTTCGCATATGGACAACTAAGTCAGACATTTCTGAATACCTCTCAGTTTAAAGTGACTGAGACAGCATTACAAAGAAATTGTAAAAATATACACAACTTTGAGTGCAATCTAACAATATAAACAATAAATAATCTAACGCTATTTTTGTTTAATCCATTAACTCAGAGTTTCCCATCAGTTTGACCAACTTGTTTAAACAATCAACAAAAGATTTTCAGGGCTCTTAGATATCATCTACAGCTGAGCTCTTGGTGGAAGACTCGCTATTATACAAATTGCAACGGCTATTCATTTGCAAAGTACATAAGTTGTCTTAAAAAAATGTGGTTTATCGTCGGTTGTGTAGCTCAAATACGAACTCAGCGTGTTTTGAAGAGCTAACTAGTAAGAGCAACATAACAAAGGGCACTACAAGATACTTAAGTATAGTAGAATGCCTTTTAAGATCAGCATTGAGTTATCTTCATCAAGTGGTCTTTGAAATTTTGACGATTTTGCGTTGCCTTTTCCAGCGATCACGAACTAATTTAACAGTGTTCAGTGTATCGAACATCGATCACCACAAAAAAAGCTAACAACTTCACTCACCGATCGTTTAAATGTACATTGAGACCGTCAGTGGCTCGCCGTAGGAGAAGAACATTTCCCATCACACTTACAGTTTTTACACCCACGTATTGTGTCCACGTATAAGTCTTAACATATGTAGAACAACAGAATTCAAGAGCTACCAAATAACTTGCAATTGTGAAACGATGAATGTTCGGCAAAGCGACAACGAACAGTGTTTTTTTCTAGCGTCCCACAGTCAACAGGCGAAGCTAGCTCGTAAAAATTTCGGATGCGCCACTGCCGTCATGTTGTGAGCACGTCGGTCGCGATTTCGTAAGATCACACGTAGTAAACGTGGTGCGGAAAAGCGCAATCTGTAGATGGTGAATCGAGATTTAGTGAAGGAGGACTTCAGTTCCTCAGCTCCATTGCCCAAACATATTGTGGCCATCCAGTCCGGCCTCGCTTCCTTTGGGACGAGTCGTTTGGACCTGCAGGCTATCGAATAAGAAACATGTAACACTAAAGATCAAGAACACATTACAAGTTGTGCTTTTCGTTGAAGCGTTGGGCAAATGCTTCTAAACCTATCCGTTTATATATATTATACTTACAATGCTTTCTCTTTTCCTCTTTTCGCGTCCCTCATTCTGGAAAGCCAAATCTGCCACAAAGTTGCGATGACTTCGACCTGGTTTTCCATCGTTGCTCTCCTCGAGAATTTCCATTAAAAACTTGATATAGCTGATGGCGAGCCTCAATGTTTTGATTTTCGACAACTTCGTGTCAGATGGAACATTGGGGATATGGTCACGAAGTTCAGCAAACGCGGAGTTCATGGTTAGGGTTCGCTTTCTCTCTTTACGATTTGCAGAGCCGCGAGGTACCTCGGTAGAGTTGTTTGATTCGGGAACCGTTGAAGTCGGTGGATCGCAGGGCTCGACTTTGGGTTTCTCTTCTTTCTTCGGCTGCTCCATTTTACAGTTACTGAAAATCTCGCAGTTCCACAGCGAAAGGAAAGAACTTGAGTGAATGAAAGCGCCGCAGCTTAATTGCAAAACCACTTTCACTGTAGACGAATTAGCTGTGAAACTCGCGCGCAGCTGTGAAACGAGACCCAACTGTGACATAAACTGGCTGACGGAAGTTAATCAACGCTTAGCTAACACTTATCATCCAATTACAGGGCTCTAAAAACGTGGAATTAATGATAAGATTGATCTTTTTTGACAAACGTGATTACGAATCGTACTTGTAAAGTTTTGATGCCAGCAGAAAAATATGGGTAAACCGTTTTGCCCTTTGTTATGATTCCGCATAAATGAAAAAGTAAATGGTTCCCGTACTTAACTTTCCTGGACTTGTCAAGTGCTATGAACTCTTTCCAAACAAACACATGAACATTAATTGATGTGTTTACATACTTGTCTGTAAATTTCTCGGAACGCCCTACAATCAGCGTCAAAGACTCCGGCAGTACACAAATTTCAGCGAGTCGTGTATATAAAGCACACATTTTATTACACATCGACGAAAATTATCTTCATTTGATTTACGTAATTTTTTAACGAGGGTCGGACAACGCTCCTTAGGGCCAGGCATGTCGTTTGTCAAATCACACCTCCATTTTAATGTCATTAATGAGCTATTATTATTTTGCTTTGTTTTCTCACGAGGGCATCGAGGTGCAAAAATGTTACGCGACTGAAACGAATCTACGGAGTGTCGCTTTTCAACGTAAATATTACGCTACTGCAGCACTTAGTTTGTTCCAAACAACCGCTTGAGAATTCAAAAGGATTAATAAGCCGGCACCTCTGACCCAAAAACCATTTGTTTGCGCTATTCCCACATATACATAGAATCCTGATTGGCGTGTGTTTGACACAAGTCAGTCAGGACATCTATAATTCCGGAAACAGTTCCAGTAGGTTATGGTTTCCGGTTAAAGGATAAGCGCAAAGTTATTTATAAGTCAATTACTGCATATGGCGCAGATCCAGGATTGGAAGTTCAACACATCCTGAGACTTGAGGACCATGATACAACAGAGATAAAGTGGGTAGGCGGATAGTAAACAAAACTTCACTTGAAAACTTGCCACGGTAGAATACCGAAATTGGGGGAAACTTTTGCGGTACTCCAAGAGTCAATTTTTTTAAAAAAAAAAACCTAATTGTATGACTTAGTCATTTTTTTTCGATCTTATGTCTTTTGCGCAGTACAGATCTCGATCAACATTGCACTGGTGATAAAAGAGGTTTGTCATGGTTGTTAAAAAATACTTAACACCCTTCACTAGACTCGCGGACGCTGATTGGCGGTGGAACGGCCTCGGCACCATACAACGAAAAAAAAAGTTTAGAAAGCTATAACAGCTTTAAGATTTTTACCACTTTGTTTTTCTAAGAGCTTCGTTTATCACAGGAATTAGCCAGGAATTGTTTATCCCCAATTGCGGTTTCCATTTTCCCCGGCAGACGACGAGCAATGTAAGAATGTCAAGTCTCTTTTTTTTTTCTAAATCCAATAACGGACTCCTGAAGGAATACAATGAATCACCAGGTGGATTACGTCTAACCCTAGTCTGTCTTAACGCGCAGTACAAGCGACCCCTAAGTCATTTGATGTGGCATGAATAGACTGGGCACTAGTCCGATTTTTCCCGCCATCTTATCTTAGCGACCAAGCCTTCTGAATTTCGCCAGCAACGCCTGGTAGATATCTGCTGTCGATCAACATGCTTGAACCGCTTCTCGAAGTTTTATCATCGCAGAGGATAATTCTTGCAAGTTCTTCGCCAAGAAGATGTGAAATCCTGCGAAAAGTTGTAAGAATATTGCAATATACGCATGTTTGAGGCATATTTTCGGAGTAATTTTGTAGATATTCGTGTTTAATAACTCGTGTCCATTTTCAACTGAATGAAGGGCTTGAATTTTGACGTAATTCCATCAAGATTTGAGGAAACGCTCGATAAAAGCGCCTTCAAACATCCATATGAGTATGTTTTGGAAAATTCTAAGCAAAAAGCTCTGGAGGTAGCCGGGAGAATCGATGAGGTAAGGGCGAGTTGCTTGACTGTATAAAATAATCTCATTTTTAATTGAAAGGCTGTTCCATAATTTCTGACCAACCTCAGCTTCTCTCCCCACGGCCCCGCCTCCCACAAACCGGAGAGCTAACCGTACACAGGCTAACCTGAATGATATTCAGGCCAACCAGGGTTTTCAAATTGAAAAAATGTAGCAGGAGGAAATTGTAAAGTAGCCAGAGCACTATTTCGTCGCGATACGGCGGCCTTTTGGGGTAAAGTGCTGGTGAGGAGAACCCCTTCTGCACAGGGGAATAGGGTGCTCCCCCTGGAAAATTTTGAAAATCAGAGTCCCTTGAAGTTTATTCCGGTACATTTTATTGCTAACTGATTTTGTTTAAGGCCACTATACACTTATCAACCAGGGTTAGTGTTGTTGCTGGGTATACAAGACCCTTCCATGTCTGGTGCATCTAACAAAAGTAATGAATACATGGGTGTTTACCACTTGTCAGAATAAACCAGTTGGGATGACCGTTGAATAATGGTAAGGGTTTTTCCAAAATCAGAAAACCAATCGAACGAGATGGCGCTTACCATTTGCTATTTGATTTCTCATAACTGTTTTCAGCTGATAAGAGACTGGAAACTGGAAAATTTACCAAATGGTGAGGAAATTTCCGCCATTCCGTTCAGAACGGAAAAAGAAGACTACCTCCGGAGGTAGTCTGCAATTTCCTAACGAATTTTTGGGAAAATTACGGTTCCATTTGACTTTCAACCAAAATTTCTGGATTTTTTTGCTAAATGGTAAGCACCCCTTGTGTCAATTTTTACTGTTTATTCTTTACACCCTATATACCAGTGAAGTTCACAAAGTGAACACATTTTCCTTGAGTTCAGTTTTAGAGAAACACTTAGTTTTGGCCCCCCAAAATGCATTATCCTGCAGTTCTTGCTCAAGATCGTTTTTGCTTTCGTAGTGAAAGAGAGCTGCATAAACGGAATTAACGTAAAATTTCCAGGGCAACTTCCGTTGATATCTGTCCTTCTACATACATAAGTATCACAACAAAGTCAGCAGTTTCGTTTCTNCTCTGTTTTGCCACAAAGCACCTTTTGTAAGTTGCTATAAGTATTAAACAGTAGACTTCTACATGGTTTTAATACAGTTGAATCTATCATAAAGAACCACCTCAGATGTGGAAAAGTGGTCATCACTGTAGCTGGTTTCTTGAAAACAAGTGCTTTCAACATGCCAAAAAGTGATAGATACAGTGTTACTGCGTTTGTAATTTAAGCAGGAAAATTGTGCATTTTTTAAAAGTGTTGAATGATTGCAAATTATCAGTTTCTCGAGTATGGTAGCTTATGAGTGCTCAAACCAAAGCAAAAGCCCAAATTGTAAATTTCAAAGTTGATCTTGGCCACTTTTGGAACAATACATTACAAAAGTTTCGTCGAGACTATAAGCGGTAGTTCTTTGAACCTCATTTCTTGTAATCCCTCCAAATCTCTGTCTTGCGTTCCTTTTAAGTTTATTCTTACATCTTTTGACGTAATATATCAATCACGAAAGACCGTGTTTGACCACATTTCCAAACATCGAGAAGAGAGTTGAAAATACGACGCGTGGCGGAGTATTTTTGACAAACTTTGAGGTGTTTCGAAATGTGGTCCAACACTGTCTTGAGTGTTTGATATATCTTCTCAATCGAAACTAAAACTAAGAGGAAAATGGAGAAATAAAATCGTGAAAATCTACGCTGATTAAGATCAGATATCCAAACGACCTCACAGTCATGATTTCCTTCATTTTGACCGCTTGATAAATAGTTAGAGTCTGTGAAGTAATTAATTTCAAGGTCATTTTGCTAAGAAATGACTTAACATATTGTGACATACTCTTTATTTCTGTTAACGTGGTGAAAACACTAGTTAAGCTTTTAAGGAAAAGCTTGAAAAATGCTTTTAAATTGTCTTATACTGTCGCCTTATGGGATTCTGACATGTTAAAAATTGTATTGTTTAAACAATGCCATCTCTTTCCTTAACATTAATTACATATGGCATTCAGGGCATTGGTGGCACGCTTGTGAAGTCTATCCACGGTGACTACTTCAACGTCATGGGTTTTCCACTACATCACTTCTGCATTCAAATTAGGAAACTATTCTCTGAAAAGAACAGCTGAAACTAATCTCCAATCTTGTAATGTTTTAGTGAATATTAAAAAAGATAAACAACAATCAAGGTATTGTTGTCTTTTCTTTCCACAAAAGTTTGCTTCAAGAGGATTTTTGATGGCCATTTTTTCAGGGAGGGGTTGAGTTAAAATTAGAAGGAATTGCATATTTCGAATCAGAAAATAATTATCTTCTCTTCAAGCAGCTTACTTTCGGAAGTTTCTAACTGATCAAGAAATGCTTGCTAGTAACAATGAAAGTACTGTGAAAATTTTGAGTGAATGTAGACACGATAGACGAATTTACCACATGTTTTGGCCATGTGGAAAAAGAGGCGGTCATTAATATTATCATCTGTTTATCTGAATTGTTTTTGTATTAAGCGGTTTTCACTTGAGTGTCGAAAAAAATTGGTTTTGCATTGCTGTGTTACACGATTGACCTAGAAAACTCGCGCCACTTTTTCATTCAATCAGAAGTAAAACCAAAACCGATCGCAACTCATTCGCACGCGTTTTCCCGCGCTTTGCGTCAGCTACATGTATTTGCTTGGAGTTTTGATTGGTTCACTGTATTCCCTGTGTCTTTTGTGATTGGCTAGAGAGATAACTTTGGTTTTGGTTTTTTACGGCACTCAATGTTAGGCCATTTCCGGGTTGCCTTGGGCCCGCTCTGTTTCACTGAAAGCGAGTCCTCGTGCAAAACCTTTCATATGAAAATGAGTTTTCAAATTTGCATGAAAATGAACTTTAGGGGAAACACATTTTCATATGAATGGTTTCGCATAAAGACTCGTTTTGACATAGGCAAAAGGCAACTCGGAGCGCTCCATTTACTTTTTTTTCGTGTTTGAAGGCAAGTTGCAAGATGAATATAAACACTGTATCAGCTTGTTTGGTAAAATCCTTATATTTCTCTCAGTTTAATAATAACAATGTAAAATAATCTCCTAACACTCTTCAAAACACCTGTACTCAATTTCATCTTCAATTATTACATATAAATTACATTTTCTGGTAGTGAATAGTGCATGAATGCATATTTCAGCGGTAGGTCTATATTTCTTGTCAGGGTGAGAAGGGTTGAGAAGAAATAAGTGCGAAATGTTAGAATGGATTTACACACAGAAGACAACAAAAGCCTGATTCTGATATACTGACGCATACCGTTTTTCCTTTCAAAAAGTTCCGTCTTAATGTTGGGTTCCAAAACTACTCGGCCAGTAAACGAGCGAACAAAAACTGGTTTTTGATTGGTTTTTAATTGGACAACCATTTTGTTGGCTTATAAACTTGTTAGCCAATCACATAGTCAACAACTGCACGTGGCGTGCAAAAAATCAAAACACGACTATTTTGATTTCCTAGCCTTTGAACCAAGTAACAACGGCACGCTGTGAAGATACCCAATGGCATATTGAAAAAAGGTATGCTAATATTTCTTGCAAGATAAATTTTAATATTATACTTTCAAACTAGTTTCTCAATTTCAAATTTCAATATGGTCACTTAAAAATAACTTGCTAAACCATTTTCCTAAACTTTTGTAATCAGAGAAAAACAAGGATATAATTTATTTCAGAGACGTTCTGTAACTAACGTTTGAGTCTTTCGAGACTGTTGCGATGTCA